AAAGTTTAGAATTAAGTCCTTTAAGTCTCTTATTTTAATACAACTGCTTGACATCCTTAATCACTTTTTCTGAACCTTTTCTTACTCCACTATGACTCCTTGAGATGTGAGGATCAAATATCAGACAGTACCCAGGGTGTGTGAGATTATGTACTGCAGCAAAATTATGTTTTCTGTTATGTTCTCGCTGCCCTTTCTGATGAATTTAGACTTTTTATTTCCTCTCAGCTACTACTGTATCTTAAGTTAATGACTTCAGAGAACTGCTGGTGATGTTATCTAGCTCTCTTCCCTGAGGTATAATTGCCAATTACAAATTCAGACTCCCATAAGCACAGTTTAGTCTATTTCCCCCCAAGATTAATTACTTTACGTTTTTCACACTGACATTAATTTGATAATTTTTTGTCCACTCACTCAGGTTTATGAACTCATTCTGGAAAACAGGCTACAAAGAACACTTCCTTCAACTGCAAGTGCAACATGCAACTGTGTGAAATCCCTTGTGTGACTGAAGCACCTCCAGCACACAAAGCTCTTGCAAACACCCTGCAAAGAGGCAGCTCAGTGCACAAGAATATCTATTCTCCTACCTGAACAGGCTCTCAGGTGCTGGGAAAGCAGGAAGTTGAAACACCTGCATGTTTAGCAGGAATTGTCTGTATAACTGTATGTACATCTTACATGAGTATAAAGGTGTTCTTCAGCCATTTCTAGAATGACTACATTGTAAAATGTTTGCATTTGAGTAGCTATCATTTAATCTTTTGGATCAAAAGAAGGGGAAGAATTTCATTGCCTGAACAGCCATGAGAATTTTGCAGCCTAGTGAAGAGTTCACCACATACCTTCTCCTTCACTGGCCTCTGTGTGCAGTGGCAGCTGGTCTGTCAGCTCCTCTGACTATTCCTTGTTTGTTCAGTCCTTTGGGATCCATCATAAAAGATGTCAGGCTACTCTTATCTACAGGAAGATCAGAAACATCAATTCCCCCACCATGCAGATCCAGAAAACAGAAAGGTAAAGAAAGCTATACTTTACATCCCATCATGAATTCAAGCACTCTAGTGTACTATCAGGCAGGCAAATTAATTTCAGCTGTAATCACAGAGCCAGATTACATAATCGTTTTCAAAATTTCCCAATATAAGGCAGATTTAGCAATGAAAAGTAGCAAAATAACATTTGTAGCTGGTCTGGGAACATAGGACCAAGGAATGTCAGAGACAGGAGACATGTTAGAACCTGTAAGAATCATGCAAAGGGCTGTAGCAAACACCCTTGTGACTAGGAGCTAAAATAGCAGTACACAAACCAGTTGCTTTGATGGTCAGTGCTTTATTGCTTTCTTTTATTCATTCTTTGTTTCCAAAGCTTGTCCTGAAATTAAATGCTTCAGAAACAGACTTTGCAAGCAATCTTCAGTAAAGTATGTGAAAGACAACTCAATCTTCCAATGCTCTCCTACAATATAAAAATTACTTGTTCATCATCTTCACAGTTTATCTTCCATTAAAAAAAAACCCCACCACAATAAGATTATACAATAAAAAAACAGATTATACATTCTGCCTGAGGGGGCCACTCCTAGAATCCCTCTTCCAGGATGACTTAATCCATAGTCTAAATTAGCATTCCCTGGAAAAGCTAACCTGTTTCACCTTAGGTCCTGTCTCTGCATGCCAGAAGCTTTCAGTTAAACCTTTCTCAGCAGTACACATGCCTGCTTCCAGGGCAAGGCCCTCAGGCAAACAGGGCCAGCATAATCCAGGACAGCAAAAGCCTAATCTTATTTCCTGACTGACATATGGGGAGAGGCTGAGAGAGTTGGGATTGCTCATCCTGGGGAAGAGATGGCTCAGAGGGATCCTCTCAGTGTGTGTAACTATACGGTGGTATGGAGCAAAGAAGACAGAGCCGGACTTCTCAGTGGTGTCCATGGAAAGAAGAGGACACATATTTAAATACAGGAAGTTCTATTCAAACATAAGATAAAGGGCTTTTTCACTGTAAGGCTGGTGTAACATGGGAACAGGTCAAGGTAGATCATCAAGTCTGTATCCTTGGAGATAACTGAAAACCTTGGAGATAACTGAGGGCCATGGGACATGGCCCTCAGCAACCTGCTTTAGTTGACCCTGTTCTGAGCAGGGAGGTTTTGATGAAATAGCTGGTGAAGGCCCCCTCCAAACTCAACCCTTCTCTGTGATTCTCTGTGAATATTCACAAGCTTGCAAATGTTAAACTCACTGCTCAGCTTTCTTGCAGATTTGTCACAGAATATACAAGGGTTTGAACCCTACTCTCAAGCATATGTGTTTGGGACAGTATTTATACCGAGACAACTCAGGAGAAGAGCAATAAACTTGAAACACACACGTACGATTTGTGTTTGGACATCTCTGTCACATGCTGTAAGGCTGGCTTTCCACCATGAACAAAAAAAGGCAAAATGCCTCAGAACCAGCGTGATAGCCATGTCTCAGCTATGTAGGACTGTGTCTCAAGAAATAACTTGCATTTACTGCACATATATTTGCCTACAAATTTCAGTGGGCCTTGCTGAAGCACTCTACTGAATGAGGACTAATATCCACCAATAGTAACAGGCACTTCACCTCTACAGGGTGACCTACTTAATTACGCTAATACCTTTTAAGAGATTTATTCCTTTCCTGAGGTATGCATTTTCCCTTGTGTTTTAGGAAAGTCTATGACAGATAGTATGACGTGTTAAGTGAATTGCTAAAGACTCCAAGTAGTCCCAGATAACAAAGAACACTTTTTCTTTAATGTGCTTTAGAGGAGTAAAGTAAATATATGTGGAAATTTAAGAGCACCAGTTGAAGTGATTATGAAGTTGTACATGAGCTATTTGGTTGTAACAATGCTTAAGTGTAATTTTGTGGTCTTATTTGCAACACTTTTTGTCTTTTTTATGAGATTTTTTTATGGGACTAGGCAATTTACTGTGCTGTGCCACTGTTAAAGAATCATGCTACAAAACTGAGATGTACCTTTTGTTGTTTCATATGGCAAGTCTTGCTTCTACAATAGTTCTAGGAATCCTTATACACAAGTGTGTGTACAGACACCTATCAGCCTCATGCACACATGAGATCATGACATATAGTAGTTTCTGTGATTTTGAGAAAGCTCAAGAGTAAATCCTGACATTTGCAACTTAATAATTTCAATAAAGTGAAAATCAGCCCAGAACTAAACACCTTCTCCAACCTAAATTTGAACTTTACAAGGTTTTTAATTGATTAGTTTATTTGATACCTCTAACGAGGATACCAGTTCTTATTCTATTATTTTTTTTTTCTGCCATCTGGAAACTTATAGCTGATCTCTCCCTTAAACATCTCCAGAAGCACCTGTTTTTCAAACTCAACTACTTCTGAAATCCTTGCCACCCTAACCTCTATAATATCATTCAGCCCATGGCTGACTCTAGAAGAATAATTTCTTGGATATTATACTGTATTATATTATACTTATTATCTTTCCTTATTTCATACCTCTTCCTCCAGGAAGGGTAAGAAAATTTGTCCCATTTCATAACATCTGTGAAAATCACATAGTAGGTAAAAAGACTTATCTATGTAGATGTTTTCCTTCCAATTTAGGTTTTATTTCCTCCCAAGTTGTAATGGAGCTATCCTTTTCCAGAGGAAAAATATACTATTCTATATAGGGCTTTTCAATGAAAGTTAATACCAGTGTAGCTCATAAGGCTTTACCCTTTTTTTTTGTAATTTTCAGATGCTTGATTCCAAAGACCAAATAGTTACATTTACAGAGTAAATGTACAGAGTTCCATTTACAGAGTACCAAGTTGTATTGAAAACAAACTCATTTTAATAGTTGTATGAAATAATGAAATAATAATATTTTAACTTGTTTTCAAATCATTAAAATTAATTAGCATTTATGTTCAAGTAAGAGATTAAACAAACTGCAAAGTGTACAGCAGTGTCTAATAATGTTCATATACACAGAAAACATAAACACAAGTGTTTCCAAGATATTAAGATAGAAATTCTGTTCCCAAAGCAAACAGAATTTTACTATGATTAATTAATGATCTTTCATTTTAATTCCTCTTGTTCTCATTTTTTATTTTCCCTGCCTCTAACTAGCCCCTTGATGAACAGAAATAAAGCAATTAGAATTTCTTTGGTTAATTTCATAAATACCCACTGTGAGCCTTATCTAAAAATTGGTTCATTCAGAAAAAAGATCATAATGAGCAGGGAATTACTTTTATATTTTTCAATTTAAAAAGAGGATATGAAGTTAGTTCAATGTATGGGCTGTTGGTTCCTAGGATTTTCAAGATGTGCATCTTGTGAAAAAAAAATATTTCCTCCTTTGTCTACGTTCGACAGCAAAGGAAAGAAAAGAGCCTTCTAATGTGTATATTGAACTGGGATTTGGGGCATTGATAGAGCATGTGCAAAAGAAATGTCTATGTTCTTTCAGAGTCAGCACTTGTGGAATAGAAAGGGTTACTAAGCCTTCCTGACAAGAGATATAAATATAGATTATATAGATAGATAGATAAAGATACAGATATAGATATCTATATAGATAAATATAGGTATAGATATAGATATGGAGAGACACCTTCTGCTTTTCCCCATTGTTTTACTTTCTTGTGTAAGAGCTAATTTCTCCCTCCTAATAGAGAACTATTTGTTCTATAACTACTTTTACATGTAAAAGTAGTAACTTTCAAGTAAAAACACACAAAAATATATGTAGACTACAAAAAGAAAGGCAATGCATGTGTTAATGTGGTGGACTCTGATATTTTGTCAAGCGAGTGAGACTGTTATTTTCCTTCTCTTTTTCAAGCAGTTGTCTGGTTTTACATGCACAATGTGAGGCCCAGACACATGGTGTCTTCCTTCCTGACACAGAAGCAGGGCCACTGCACTGGTTTCAAAAGTTGTACTCAGAACATTCACATGCCTTGTCCTCCCTTATTACAGGTGTTTCTTATCCTGGTCCTGCTCTTGCTACCAGACCTTCTCATCTCAGGTCCAGTGCCTGCACTCCTGAAGAGCACCACCTGTTGTGATGGCACTGAGGTTAGTTAGTTCTCACATGCAGAGCACATGAGCACCTCATATGGCAAGTGCTTTAGCTGACAGTATTTGAAAGGCTTCTGTTTATATATTCCTACAAAAACAATTTGATCCCATGTTCTCTTGGGTATGGATTTGCCATGAAATTACCCAGCCTGTGTTTAACTGGGGCTGACCAGTAGAGTAATCAGCCAGGCAAGGAGTAGTCAGTGGATTTTTGTAGTAAGTAAAACAGTTCTCACAGAAAAGCCTGTCTTGCTCCACTACAGCAGAATTCACTGATGTGTTAGTGAGGGTCTCTGCTAGGTAACAGTCCTAGTCCTTGAAGGAGCTGAATCTGTCCCTGACATGTCAGCATGGAGCTTTCACTCCAGTGAAAATAACCCCTTTTTTCCTGAAAAAGTCATGCTCGAGACTTCTCCTTGGTGTCTTGCTGAGAAGTAGTCCAGCTTCCATCCTAGTTGAAAATTTAATCAATGATTATTTTTTTCTGCCTAAAGTACTCTTACATGTTCTATATAATGTATTTTTAAAATTATCTGGAAAGGATGAAAACCACAGAATTCTTCCTGTCTTTTGAAATTTGTTTTTCAAGGCTTATAAGGGGTCATTTATCACTGCACAGAAACTGTCTTAGTGGGTTACAGATGATGCTAAAACATGCTAAGCATCAGTAAGGCAAGGCAGCACAGTATGATCTGAAGCTCCATTACAGCTCAGAGAGTGCCAGTGACCTCTCTGTAGGGTGTTTTCATCTCTGCAAATTGCAAAGCTGCCATCTGGACTCCATTCAGCATCTCTGTAACAACATTACTCAAGTACAGATACTTTTAGGCTCAAAACTGCTCTGTGATGAAAAAGAGAGTCCTTCTGTCTTGATTCATTTAAAGGACTCCAGGGCAGTTCTCCAGCTACACCGTATGCTGGAGGTGCTGCCCTGCAGTCACATACTGTGTGAATACATGTATAAGCTTTCAAAGAAAAAGAGACTTTAGTGGTAACTGAGATATTCTTAATTTGTGTTGCCTAAGGGTATACTTGCAGCTTTCTCCCCAGCCTCTTTCTTCTGGGTCCCTGAAAATGTGCAGGATTCATAAGCTAAGAGGAACATCATAGGGCCATATGTGCACAGCCTGGCCCTCTGGGGAGGGCTGCTGAGGGAGCGGGGGTGCTGAGCACTACTGCAGGTGCTGTCCAAGCAGTAAACCCCCACTCTGCTGTGCCTGTACCATGAATCCTGAAGTTCACATATTGGTGAGTGCCTCCTCTATTCTGGAAAAAGAGCAGATATGCAACAGCGTTGCAGACAGCACAGCACCGGTCCTTAGGGTGCTGCACTGCTGCCAGAAGTGCATGTGGGTGGATTACAAGTTGTGACCAGGGTTTCTCAGGCAGGACAGCCATCAGTACAACAGCAGATCACCCCAGTGCTTGGCAGCCTCTTTACTGCTCAATGGGCTGAAATTATTCAGACCTGGCTTTATGAAGCTTCATTTCATTTTCACCTTGTAACACATTTTCTACTTCAAATTTTCTATTACAGCATTATTACCCAGTCACAGTTTTTGTGTTAGGCTTGCACTAAGTATTTCGCTCAGTACTACATTTAATGAATATCAGCTACCTTTGAACTAAAGATTTATTTAAACAGCAGGTACAAGAGTACTTTTGAAAATACAAAGAAAATAATTACTTAGAGAGAAACAGGTAGAATTCTGTCCCAAACCAAAATAAGTGAGATGTTAAACATCTGAAAATGAGTTCTCTTACAAATATATAACATTAAGTGTTTGCTTTATTGCTACTCCATAGAAGGCTTATAACTTAAGCCTCAGTCAGAAGCTCAGCCAGTACAAATGCTGGGCTGCAGCAACTGGAATTCTAAACCTGGAGTAGGCATTCTGGGGAGGCAAAAAACATTTTCCATCTACTAACCTTCTACACAACTCCTTCTTCTCTAACAATTTAAAGCTAATAGAGCACCTGGCCCCTACTGAGTCTCCATCTTATTAGAAACACATTGAGTCTGACGGCTGCTTGGGAAGCCAAAAACCACATTCATCACTGGAGTATCTCATCTGACATCAGTGAGATCAGAATTTGGCTTTAATCCTCCAGAATGCACACAATATTTACACAGGGACCATGTGAAAATTAACTTTGACTGCTACACTAATTCTACTGTATTTGGAGGACACTGAATGTTTCTCTTTGTTCAAAACTTTTCTTAACAGCATTTTATTTTGCAACAGCAGATAGGTCTGGCCCTTCCCACCACATGCTGTCAGGAATGTTGTAGCCTAGAGAACAGTCTGGCTTCTTCTCACTGAATAATGGAAACTTGCTGTATATTATTTGATTTGTATGCTCTCATTGTGTTTTGATTTTGGTTGCTGAATGGAAATAAGAGTGCAGAATAAATTTTGTTTAATAGAAAGAAAGTGTATAAAACAAGATATAATAGAAAAGACAATTGCATATTTACTAATTGTTTGAAAATACTTTTTTCTTAATCTAGAGACCTTCCAGAAAATCCTTTTTATTTTTAAGAACATCTTTGAATGAAGCAAGAACTTCTAGTAGAAGGCTACAGTTAGATTTTCCTTTTAGCTGCATTTTGGAAGACAATTGAGTTTTCATTCAAAAAATTAAATAGTATATTGTTAATCGTCTATGGTATAACGTGTAGGCAATGTACAGCTTGTCTTCTATTCTATGTCAAAAATCTGGTCTTTCTGCATCAGAACTTTTAGTTACAGACCTCATTTTGCAACACCTGATTTAGATGTATTTCAGATGTATGCACTTTGAAGAGATATCTCTGATAACTTAAATTTGCAAACTGAACTTGGAACTGAAAACCAAAATCATCTTAGTGCCTTGAATTCAGTTAATTTGTCACTTTCAAAAATTTAGGCTGGTACTCACTATAAATTAAACAAGAGATTTTTATCTCCAACACAGGCTAAACCCACAAATGCTGGACATCCCTCCTTGCCTGTATTTGTGCATGTGTGTGCATACACATATATATTACTTGGGCAAAAGTTGCTACATTTTTTATATCAAAGCTTCTCTAGCTATTCAATCATTGTTGTTGTTCCACAGGTTGGGAGTGATATTTGCTTGGAGCTCTGAACAATTGACTTTTACATAATTATCATAAAATCATCTTTATGGAATATTTCTTGTGTGATAAGCATTGTTTGCAAAGTAGTTTGATGTCTTATAAATGACAGACTTTTACTTAATGTATCTTTTCCCTTTTTTTTAAGAGGAAAATTAAGGAAAATGAGGACACACTGCTAGACTTGATAAAGTAATTTATTACAGAGTTTTAACAAACATTTTCATAAAGATTAGACACAAAGATTAGATCTGCACTCTAACTTGAGCTTGCTCTAATGATCTTATCTATAAATGGTTTATGGAATACAAAAAGGTGGAATTTTCTATGGTTTTCAGCACAAATCATGCCCAGAACATGTTTTTTGGCATCCTGAAAACCAAAATAGAGCAAGAACGGGTTTCTTAGTATGAAATAATAATCTAAATTGAAGCATGTTCACCCTCCAGGGCTTCTATTCTGATTTTTAGTGATTGCTAAGTATCTTTATAGATGACTGATTTGGTGAGTGTTCTACCCAGCATTCAGCAGTACAAACAATAGAAACATGTCATTGCATAACGTTTAAAGATGTGATTTTAGCAATGAGACATAAACATAAATCGCAAATAAGAAAAAGTATGTTTTTACTTCGTTCTCTAAAGTGTGCAACTTATTAGGAACCTCCCCATATGTGCTGTTCTACACATGGGAAAACTTAGTCTAGAAGAAAGTAACCCCCATTTCTGCCTCCTCCAGGTATTGAAGATTTTTATGGTTTTGGAACTGGAAAACTGAAAGAACTACACAACTGAACAATTGCCTACAAAGCCCAGGGCATGCAGTCCATTAAAGCACTAAATAGAGTGACCACTTCTCATGGCTTGCTTGACAGAACCATCCATAGGTATAAAGCCAGAATGCTTTTAAAACAAGCAAAACCAAAATTTCACTTCGAGTCAAGAAATGGTGCTATTAAAAATGGAGGGGCTACTCAGTTGTTGAGAATTAGACTGCTAGCAGGATCAACAGCCTTAGATCACAAATAATAAGAAAAAGTAAATTTTTTGTCTGTCTTGGAGGCCTACTCAGTGAAATGTATGCAAAATATGTGAGGTTCTTATTCACAGATTTAGGATGCTGCTTCTCATATCCCTTTTGCTTTTGTGGGCTATTAGCAAAAGCCTTCTTATGACCTTCGAAACACTAGAGGAGATCCTATATTGTGGCATGAAGAAGGGGAGAGATTTACATATATTTTTTAGATACTATGACAAAACATTGCTTTGCATAGTGTTAAATTTCAAAAACAGAGCCCCTTTCTTACCTGAGATGACATACATGTTTATCTCAAGGGAATATATAACACAGTTACTGAGTAAAATCAATGACATAAGGCTTAGCAGGTACTAGATTTTACAGACTTAGTAAAATTATGAGATATATAAATGTTAAGAGGCTACCTAAGATATATTACAAATTTAGCATTACTATGCTTTAATTTGGAAAAAAGCAAACTGATAGTGTCAGCTAAAATTGTAGTTGCCCTAGGGTCTGATAGAAAAGTTTTTTTTGAAAGCTAGGCAAAAAAATATTCTTTATTTGAATAATTAAAAAGATCAGTATGCATGTATGCAGATGAGAATGCTAATGCCTTTATCTTGTTTAAATTGATTGGGAAAAGGCTCAAATGAAGAGTAAAGTAATTCTGGCAATTTGATGAAAGCTTGCAGTACATAGGCAATGTCAGAAGCAATGTCCTCATCAGAAATAACACTGGATGGGTAATTGTTAAGAAATGGATATCCAGAAAATTCTGGAAAAAAACAGCAAAGAAAACAGAGAATTGAAATCCTGCCATCTGTATCTGTTTATAGATGGATTGAATCTGGTGTCAAAGTAGTTAGGTCTACATGTAGCAGAGGACAGAAGATACTTTATTTTCATGTTTTAACTATTATCCCATTTTAACTCTCTAAGAACACCCCTCAAGATGCTACTTCAGTGTGTAAACTACAGAACTAACAGCAGGACTTGGGGTTTGGAGTTTGCAGACTTTTTGTTGAGTAACTTTTATAAACAGGGAGTCCCCTCACACACCATTCTGCCACTCTCCTTACCAGCTGTCCAGTGCCTTTCATTACTCCACCTATTTGTTTAAAGCCAGTGGTAATTTAAAGCACAAATAAGGTCTATAGAGGAAATTGTTTAATCAGAATGCCAAAGAGCACTTCTTCCCCTATTTCTGCTACCAAGATCTGCAACAGCATTTTGTGATTGTAGTGTATTTCTCATTGCTAGAAAAAAAAATTAAACCTGTTTAATTCTGAAGCCATAGGTAGCACTGATGTTACCCAGTGTCACTTATTTGTAAATGGGTAGCCGAAAAGAAGACAAAAATTAATCTGTACAAACAGCTGCTAAAATTCAACTTCTGCCTTCAGGAGGTGATTATTTTTAGTTCCTCAGGGAAAGGTCATTCTGTTGTCAGGCCTCTTCATCACTCCTATACACCATCCCTAAAAATTCCAGTTACATGGAGGGTACACCAAACTTCCTGCAGTGATGCAGTCTGACACCTCCACAAGAGAGCACAGTCCTGCTCATCAGGCATTGCAGAAAATTTCTGCTGCACATGATCAGGCTTTCACTGCTCCCATTTTTGTGATTAAAGGTGCTATTCATTGTGAACTATGCTTTTTTCAACTTACGTTTCTGGAGTTGCTTCATTTAAAATGCTGGGAATATAATTTTTTTACCAGGGAAAAAAAAATTATCTTAATATATTGAAAAAATCCTGGAAAGGAATTTGCTCCATCTTTCTCCCCTCGCAGTATATACACAGAGTATTAATCATCAGACAGGCAGGGGATGATAACTTGTGTGAGCAGGCATGCACTACAATCAAAAGTGATTTAATTCCATTCCAGTTCTAACATTTAAAAACATTATCCCTTCCAAATATCATTAATCAAGTACTTGTTTAGAAAATACCAAATTAGTCACTACTGCTAAAAGGTCATTGATAGATTTTCATATTTCAGAGGAATTTTCCACTCCTGTTTTATTGTTCAGATTTGGTTGTTGGCTACTAACTTTTCAGCAGGAATGTTACAAAAGGCTTGTTCAGCACATCTCTATCTTCAAACTTGAGGACGAAGGGAACCATCTGCAGAGTATAAAGTATCCTTGGCATGGCTGTGATCTTGCCGGCAGCTTCGTTCCCATCCATGAGAGAGGGAGCTGGTTTCAGTGCCTGTGATTTCCTTCTAAATTATTAAAAGTTAATGTAGGCTACACGAGTAACTGGGGATGTTCTGGCATGTAAGTAATCTAATTAAGGTTTGATGGCTAACTGAATAATTGTGGTTTACTAAACACTCCAGTAGGAAAAAATAAATGGGTTCCATGCAGAGAAAGAATGTGTAACAATAAAATGTGATTCTTCAGTTAGGAACTCTACCTTGAGTTACCCCAGTGAGTTCAGTGTAGCTTCTTAAGGAGAGGTAGGAAAATTTTGAGCCTGTTTACTCTGTAGTCCCATTTATAGTTAATATACTTACAGTTTATAGTAATTTTCTTCCATTTCTCAATTTGCAGCTTACTTTCAGTAGGTAATACTACCATGTTTGGGCAGACTAGGTACCACACAACTTCGCTGCCCATTTTGTGGCTTCCTACCGAGTAATTGTCCTGCAGTGAATATCACGTTTTTGCACAGTTGAAGGAAAAATGCATTAAATACAAAGCATGGCCATTTGTAAGTGTGGTTCTGTATATGATCACTAGAAAACCCTGAAGATTTGAATAATTTTGTTAAGATGAGTGAAATAGGAGTGTGAGCAGCTTGTTAGCTGCTTCATGAAATGGCTGCTCCATTAAACTTATCTGAAATTGCACTGATTGCCTACAAAAATGTCTGGCACCTGTTTCAAGCTGCATTTTTTGTGGCCGATCACAATGTTCAGAATGCAGTGGTTCACAGATAGCATCATATTTTTCTAAGTGAACGCTTCAGTCAGGCTTTAAATTTCAGTCTAATTCATTGCCTGTTAAAGTCAATGTAGAGAGCTTGAAAGATTTGAATAGACAATGAATGTACAGAAATATTAGAGATTTCTTCTTAGAAACACTCCCTTTAACATTGCTCTTACTTAAAAGTTGCATTTTCTTATCTTGTTCCAGGATGAAGCTGCTCTTTAGGAAAATTTTGCAGCATTCTTAAGAAACATGTAGAAATCAAAATATACCGGCTAACCTGAAATGGAAAGTAACTTTCCTGGGACAATGAATCCAATGGATGGTAAAATCATAATCCAAAGCAACACAGACATCTTCCTGAATCTCTAGATTAAAATTAAATACCTTTGTCTCCAAATGCCTTTCTAAATCATCTTCTTCATGTAACACTGAGGATTACATTACATAGCAAGGATTATGTCATGTTTATGTCTCTGTCACCTCACATGAACATGCCAACTGATGCAGGTGTGTGATCAGGTAAGTTTGGGGAATGGTTTCCTGGAATACGTTGTGACAAAGCAAGTGTCAGTGGCTACAATTATAGTACTAATGTAAGGCTGACTAGGAGGATAAATGGAAATTTTTTAACGCATTTGGGTGCACTTCTATTGATCCTTTGATATAGCTGGGCATCACAAAGTCATCTCTGCAGGAATTAACATGGACATCCAGAAGAGGCTTATATTTGCAGCAGCATGTACTGTGGTAACTATAGTTACTGTGCCATTTCTGTAATTTGCAAAGAGTGTACAGTATTTTTCAAAAGGAAAGATTATGGATAACTTTATCTCTTTCTCCTACCTTGATAGCTTGATAACTTGATAGCTTAAGACAAGGAAGTTGTTTGGGGTTTTTTCTTGGCTTATTTTGTCTTTGAAGGCTTTTTCCCTTTATTTTTGCCTCTGCTCCTCATCTGCTTTATAGTTTTCTTTCCTATCTACTCTTCTTCCCTATGTCCTTATGTCTTCACTTCCCTGTTTTCTTTATAATTCTCTAAATGTTTCCTTCATTCTATGTTTCTATTTTCTTTCCTTCAACAGTTCATTTGAGCCTTCAGTAGAGTCTCCCTTCCTTTCCCATTCCTCATACTTAGGGATGTTTTCTTCATTCTCTAATCTTTCATAGCTGCCTGTACTTGATCTGTAGTGGTTTTCTATTATACTACTAACATAGCTTTCATAGTCCTCTCACTCCCATATGTCTTGTTTTTTTCCCCAGGTTCTACTGTCTTTGAATCCCTCCTTCGTATCCGAAACAGAGTGAATAGTTTCTTTTCCCTGTTTTCAGTTTCATACTCCTTGGCTGACATCATTGTTTCCATGGTTTTCCTCCCTTCTTTTGGTGTGTCTTAAGGCTGTCATACCTTCTCTTCCCTGCTCTTCCTCACTGTCTCTTCTGGCCCTCCATTCCTCTTACAAACTCTGTGTGCCACTCTTTTATCTGCATGGCTGCCATCTCCTGTCAGTTCTGGTTATGTATTGTGTGTTTTCACAATGGGCATAATGTGGCAAATAAGATATTTTGAAGAGATTGCTGCAATTCAGTTCTGAGACCAGCCACTGGAAAGACAGCACAGCTCCTTCAGTAGGTAAGAGTGGTGCTAGATGTGACAGTTTGATTTAATGAGATGAATATGAGCACATCCCTTGAACACCTCTGTGTTAGAGGTGGTTTTCTTTGTCCTGAGCAGTTTCATTCATGTGTCAGTATTAAAGAATTTCCTAGGTCATCAACTTTATCCAATCCTGCAAAATTGCAAGCAGATTTGAGCCTTGTGTGTGCTGAAATACTGCAATGGCTGCCCTACACTGCACTTCCCATTCATGATTTGTGCTTCTGCGTGTCTGATTTTACTTCAGGCTTTTGAACCTGAAGTTGTCAGATTTCAAGCATGAGACTAACTTTTATACTCTTAATTCTGACAATCAGTTTTTTTTCTTGCACTCACTAACTAAAGAAATTCAAGGACTGTTGAACCCTTGGTGAAGCATCACAATCCAATCTTAAAAGCAATGAACAATCTGATTGCAGAGTATAGTTTCATTTTGTATTAAAGACTACAATGTAGCAACATGTACATCAAATTCTGCTCTGATCAGTCAGCCTCAGCCTGCACATTTTCCTGCCTTATGGCAGCAGCAATCTTCAACATACTTAAATACAATATACCTAATTCTGTATAACAGTATTGAGAGAATAATTCTGTTTCTCTTCTTTGAGTAAGGTATTTCCCCAGTGAAAGATCAGTGGAGCTTCCATAAAGAGAAATCCAAGTGTGTGTGTGGGCTAAGCTGAAGATTTCCTTTTATCAGTTCATAAGGACAACATATTCCAACACATCTAGCAAAAAGCTAGAATGTTCACACAAGGGCTTGGAGATGCTGTCATCACTGAGTGGAATTAGCTACAAACTGCAGTTAGAGAAAAAGTTGCTTGTGTTTTGTGTCCTTTAAATATATTTAACACAACCTGCCACTGAAAAAAGCCGGATTTCAGTTATCCTAACAAGGGAGAGTTTTCTCAGCTGAAGGGAGCTTCAAAAGGTGAAGCATTTCCCTTCTGCTCATGACTGCCAGAACTGTTCTTTCCTGAAGCTGCTACTGGCTGAAGTTCCTGTTGTAACAGATCTGTGAAGCATATTATGAGAAGAAAGGTCAGATAAGCACTGATACATTTTTCTAGTATGTTTGAATGTATCAGTAATAACCATGAGATTGGAACCTGGTGAGCTAGACTTTGTGCAGCTGCCAGATACAGGAAAGTTTCTTCTGTTCAACTTTAGTTTCATTTAATTCTTCGGTCTAGTTTCTAATAAAATCAACACTGCTTTCTTTAACACAATCTCATTTCACCAGTTGTTACAGAAGCAGGCTGCTTCAGTGCTCCAAATGAACTTCTGACCTCTGGGAGTGATAGCAGGGAGGTAAAAGGTACTTGGCCTGTAGCACTTTGCAGCAGGTATGAAGCCAGGATATCTCCAAAGTGCTGGTGATAGTACGCAAAGCAAGTCAAAAAAAGGTAGGAATATGCCAGCCACGGGACCAAATATTGACAGGTGTCAAAAAGAATTCTCTTTTACCATGTCAATATTCTTGGTTTACTTTGTAAAACATTTGCCCTCTGCTGTCCTACAAACAGCAATATTAAAAACACATTTTCAAATGTATTAAGAAACACAGCCAGAGGTGTCTATTCAATAAAATGTATTTCATTTAATCTGGACACATGAAATGAGGACAGATGCCTTATTGAAAAAGCTTCTAAATAATCAATCCATGATAGTGCATAGAAAAGTATGGAACTTCATTAGGACAGTAGTCTCAAGGTTTCCTTAATGAGGTGTATTTGGCCACTGCCATGGGTTTGCATGGTGTTTAACCAGGTGTTAAACATGTGAAAAATTTAACTTCAATCTTTCCACAGAAGCATTGCCAAACAAAGATTTAAAGAAGCACAATAAATGAATTTCAAGATTATTATTCTTCTTTCCTTTAGCACTTCATTTCATTCTGAGCCCACTTCTCCCTTTTGTGTGTGTTTCTGTGTCAGGTCTGGGAAACACTATGGATTTTCATTTGTATATGGGAATGTCAACATTATAAAAAATGGTCATTTCCTGAAAAAGCTAGAGACCTGGAGGGCAGCAGGCTTCCAGATCTTGGAAAGCACACGTGTCATTCCATTTATATTACTTTAGCTTTAATGTCTCAGTTTCAAACCTCAAATCGCACTGGAGTCCAGAATGTGGAGGCCTGAATTATTCAAAATTACTGAAACACCATTCAAACAGCTTTTTTCTATCAGTAGATGTTTTGGCATGAGGATTGGGAGCACAGCTTTATGTGAAGGAAATTCAGCCGCTGAATTCCTCCCCAGTAACGAAAGGCCATGGACACTTTTATTTCCTTCCATGGGAATTCCACCAGAAACTACAGACAGTGATAGTCAGAGAAGTACAAGGAATTCCAAAATTTCAAGCAATTACAGGAACTACAGACAGTGATAGTCAGAGAAGTTCAAGGAATTCCAAAATTTTAAGCAAGATTTCCCCAAACTGTGAGGTTTTTAAAATAAAATACACTCTTCATCATTGTATGATATTTACATTAAGAGATCCTATCTACAAAAGAAAGGTATTTCCTCTGTACAGCTTGAGAAGTGAATTTAAAGTGATGTAAACAAAACTTATGTGCCTTCTGAGCACATAATTTTTTCCAGTCTCTAATATATTATTAATTTTGACAACAGTTACCTGAAAAGGTGTTCTAAATTTCACTGTCTGTAAGGAAAACTTGGGACAAATATCTTTTGTTTTCAGTCTTGCAAAGGATAGCATGACAAGTTAAAGTTCTTGTATGGAGCTCTTGCATGTCCTGGTGGCAAGGACATCACTGAGTAAGATTTGATAAAATAAAGAATTTTTAGATGGGAGATGATTCTTCAGCTTTTTGCTCAAGTGCATAAATTTACATCTTTTGCTATCTCTTTTCAGAACAGCTTTGTTTTATGACATTTGGATATCTAAATGCAGGGTGCCATTTCCTAAGATAATCCTTGTGTTGTGTGCTCACCCACAGTGAAATCAGCCCTTGGAAACTGTAAGAGACAGCTAGAAAAAGTCTTTTAAACCCAACACAGTACTGAAGAATGTGACCACATTTACTAGCAAGAAACTAGGTTTCTCCCAGGTAAGAGTCCTGCTCAAGACATCAACAGAAGACAACCTTTATCCCTGCCCCATATAAAGCCAGCTCTGTCTCTATAGCCATCGTGGTACAGACACAGAAGAGCCTTCTGTACACATGATTAGAAAGCCTACTCTCAAGGCCTCCCCTCCTCTTTGCTTTTACAAGTTAGGTCTTCTGCTCTCATCTCAGTTCATCTATAGAAAATATGACCCTTAATGTCTCTCAAGCTAATACAGAAAGCATTTATATTTGGGCTGCAGCATAACTGCAGGAGTGTCCAACAAAGTATGCCAGTAGAAATCCATTCATATTTCCTATTTTAACAGTCTGTAATTTGAGTGTTTGTTCTCTCAAGTGCCTTCAAATTATGCCAATTTCTAGAGATTAGAGTCTAGGCTAAGTGTTCTCCATAAAGAGATAATACAGTGGATCTCTATTTTAGTTGGAATAAGGTATATATTTGAACTGATTGCTCATTGCCTGAAAGAGCTATTCAGCTGGCAATAAAAATTGTGGTTTTGACATGGGAACGTTCCTGTGGCATTGTTTTACATAGCAGTGGCTGAATCTGAAATTTTAGATTCTCTTTGGACACTTCAGCTGTGATGTGGTTTGAACTGGAGTACCCAAGGCTCTCTTTGATTCCCAACCAAGGGAGAAGTAAAATATTATTGCATGTTTTCCATGTCCAAAGAAGTCTACATTACTTTCTATACAGGATCATCTTGCTGTGTTACAGGTACACTTCCTTCCTGGTAAGTAATGGTGAATAATTGATATTTCTGCTGCAGGAAACAGAATTAAAGGAGTCAAGCTTATAGACTTGAACTTAGTCAAAATCACTCACTGGAAAATGTTTCTGTTTGCATAGAGAGTGGTGACTAAGTTGGTAAAAGTCTCTTATTAATCTGGTGTTTCATATACTGACTCAAACCAGAATCATGGGAATATCCCAAGACCTCCTCAGCTTCAGGAAATGCAGTTTAGAAATTAGGGATGGAAAAATGCATTGTGGGTGCTGAGTCCCATATATCACCCAAGTGTACTTACAATAAGTAGAAGTCCTTGAAAAATGTAGATGAAATGGGGATGTATTACAAAAGAAGGTTTATGCCCATGGGTGGATTATTGCATTCCTTACAATATATGATGTCTCCTGACAGAAGAAAGATATTAATGAAATTATCTACTCATGTATATGACCATGTAGAACAAGAAAAACACTGAAGAAGCACACATAACAAAAGACTCTGGATTTCATTATTTAATTCTTTTGGTAAATAGGTATTTTGCTGATTCAGGGAGACTGATGTGGTGCAACTGCTGCTGCAGATTAAGTTCACAAGGCACTGGACACTTTTCAGACCATCTTATTTACTATTAATTGTTAACAAAAATTAGCTTAATTTCAGCTAGTGGGGAAGTTGAAGTTTACTAGGTTTCATCTCACATATAGTTGGAGCTTCCTACTGAAGGAATTTCTGATGCATACTTTTTGCTGAGTTTTTACATTTATAATGAATCAGAAAGTTTTGAATAATGAATGAGCAACAGCTGCAAAAAGGATGATTTGAGCTTTTCAGAGTTCACTCTGAAAAATATGGAACTGCTAAAGTCCATTTCTGACTATTCTTAGTGAATTGAGGCAAAGTTTCTCTTGGAGTTTTGCTTGAGTGTGTGCTACAGGATTTGGTCTAGTTTTGCCTGTCTTCAGTAAAAACAACAGTGTAACTGGTCTGTTCTTTGCCTGTCACAACACAAATGATCCCTTGAAACTATCATCTTCAGTAAGCTGCATGAATTAGTATTGACTGTAACTCTGCTTAGTCAAGAACATTATAAAAAGAAAATTCCAGAGAGATGGGGAAAAAAGACTTAGGAATGAAAAGACTCAGTTGTTTAAAAATAGGTTGAGTACTATGTGACTATTTTTAAAAAGCTGTAACAGTAATACTTTAAAAACTAAAATAGCTCTACTGTGCAACTTTTGCTTTATTCTGACAGAGTGGTGTTGTGTTGAATTTCAAGGCTGACCCTGGAAAACATCTTAGGTGGCAAAGCAAAGATCAAGGTGAATGTCAAATTTTTCTGATTTATATCTCTCCAATCCTTTCAGAGTCTGGAGGCAAGATGAAGTCTGACTGGATATGTCTCACAAAGAAATTTTCTTGGAACTAAGAAGATCATAGAAGAAAAATCCCTTATTCTTTTTGGCTTAGTGTAAAATGCGCATATATGAAGTGTAACTCTGGTGAGGCTTTTCAAAATCTCCTGTTTCAGACAGGTACTCATGACTGTGGCAGGTATCCTTAAACAGTGAAACTGCTATCAGCAAATGACCCTCTTCTCCAAGACCACATGAATGCCACTGTGCTGTGCTGAAAGAAGGAAGTGAGGTTATATTTCACTTAAGGCAGAATGAAAGCTGGAACTAGTTTCATATTTTACCCCATGTTTTCTTTTCCACTCTCAGTCATATCTGTATGGCTGATGGTTAACAGGGTGCTTTGCTTCTATGTGAGGAAGCATTTGTTATTGCTTGCTCACTATTTTCCATAGCAACAAAATGTCTCTGTTTAAGATCCAGCAGAGATGAGCAAACAGAAAAGCCTTTAAGAAGCAGTTTGTAAAGGAAGCTAAATTAAACTTAACTCTTTCACTTTAACTGCGCAGTCAGTATTTATTCTGGTATTAAAAAATGTCTTATCAAGGCCTGGAGTGCCCTCAATCTTTAAGCTCACAAATGGACATTTTGGGTCAGATAGATTCACTGTCTCCTAAGCACAGAAAGCCATCTCTGCCAGCACAGGGTAGTAGACTCCTGCAGAAGAACACAAAAGCAGGAAAGGCATGACATGATAAATGCCCTACTATACTCTTTGCCTCCTTTCCTCCCCTTCCTTCAAGCTGCAACTGAGAAACTATCTTGACTAAAAGATGTATCTGTGTTTTTAAATGCAGGCGTGTAAAAAGCAGTTAGATGGAAAATAATTTTATCCTTTACTTACTCTCTTATTGACAAGAGACAAATCACAGTCCCTGTGTTTGGTTACAACTTGCCCTCATGGAACACATAAGAAAAAACATAGGAATCAGAGGCTATTCAATTTACTGAGCATTTTAAAGCCACAAAATGAATATAAAGTACATAGCATTAAAACATCTATATTGAAGACACCATCTAGTTTCCAAATAATTAGAAGATCAAGTGAATTGTAAATTAACACTCTCAGGTTGCAAATAGAGACATACTCAGCATATGGAAAAGGCTACAAAAACATGGCTAAGGATACACACAGCAAATGGTTTGTGCCCCTGCCCATAAACTGAAGTATGTTCAGGACTTCGTGCACAGGTCCTGCTCTTGCAGCAACATTTGGTAGAAACAACAGCCATTTACAACCTGCATTTCTTTAGAATTGCTTTTCCCACCACATACATTACCTATCTGGTGATAGCAATAGTAGCTGAGAAATTGAGCCAGGTAAAGAGCACTACCTGCACAGCATTTCCTGCAAAGGATTTGGAATTCAACAGACCATTCACCATCAATGTAATCTGTCATAACTTTTACTGTAAGACCTTCCAAATATGAAGGGTGCTTCCAGCCCTAAGTCCCAGAGTAATTTCCTAATTGTATTAACTACACTTTTACTTTCCTTTCCCTTATGTTTATGTCTGTTATGACTGCAGAGAAAACCTTGAAAACACATACACTAAAGCCTGAGAACTTCACAAATGAAAATAATTACCAATTTTTGGCTCCCATGATTACCAACCCAATCCAGTTTGCATGAGCCTTGTTCAAGCAGGCCTGCCAACACCTCAGAGGGCTATGACTCTCCATCAACCTGGTCTTTTTCTCCACAGTCTGTCCAGACAAGGGTGCTGTCACTACTTGGAAAACAGAAAATGTCCTAAAGTAGTCATGTTCTCACTCTTCAATTTAGAAAAATAAAAAATTGCTTTGAAATAACATTTAAAATAAATGTTACCTAATCTCTGCTCACAGCTGCTCCTGGGTTTATAATGTTCATTTTTCATTTAACAGAGATAGATTTAGATTTCAAGTATGATGATCTGGTATTTCTACTTTTAAAAATTATTACAAAACTTATGGAGGTGGTTTGTAAATACTTGTGAAACATGCACTGTGAGAGCAGCAGTGCTCTGCAACAAAGGGCACTGAGTACATTAGGATCCAAGGAAGGGTAAAAACTTCAGTCCATAAATAACACCCTATCTTTTTCTCATCTCAACTGGCATGAGGACTCTATTGTCTTTCATTTCTGGTTTCAGTCAACTTTATTTTCATGGTTTGTTTCACCACTAGACCCACAGAGTTGAATAGCAGCCATTTTACACATGACTTAGAGCTACTGTACTGTATCAAAGTATCTATGTAGGATATTATAATTAGGATTTTTCCTCTGCTGCAACAAAACTGTGGTTATAGATAGTTTTAAATATGCCCAGTGATTTATGAAAATATCAAGTGACAGTGAATGATAATATAGGTTTCTTACCTCAAAATCATCAAATTTGTGGAAGCAACAGACTGACAAAAAATGAGTAGTAGCACACAAAAGAGAGTGGGGAAGGAATGAAAAATGCCCAGGAATGTACATTTTCAATTTAAACATGCAAGAGCAACAGAACAAGAGCAAGAAGATCCACAGAATTCCACACTGCAATTTGTGTAAATAATTTCTATTTTCAATATCCAATCCAACAGCCTTTCTGAAACGGCATGTGTAGCATGGAATGCTTTTGGAGTCACATTATACAACTATGTGTTTCTTGTACTAACTCTTATGTTTTTTACCCAGCAGGTCAACATGATAAAGGTAAGATAAAAATAACCACCTAAATTCTGAATCAATTCCCAAAGTTTCTTTACACTGGAATGGAAGGAATCTATCATTTAATCCAGACTCATTGCCAAGTCTGTCAGATCCTGTGCGATGCTAGGGCTGCCACCTTTACCACCCATGGGGCCCGAGCACCCTTCACGTCTCACGTGTTCTTTTGCAGACCTGATGTGCACATCCACAGGAATTTTGGCTTTTTGCCACATGGTAAAACACAGTTTCCTACTGCTGGCACACCTCAGCCAGGCCCTGGAGCTGCACCCACAGATGCAGCAGGGCAGTGGGCTCCTGTCTAGGCACCTCAGCTGGGCTGAGGGGGTGTTGGTGGCAAGCAGGTCATACCAGAGCTCCTGGTGGCACACAGGACATGACACAGCTCCTGGTGGCACACAGGACATGACACAGTTCCTGGTGGCACACAGGCCATGCCACAGCTCCTGGTGGCACACAGGACATGACACAGTTCCTGGTGGCACACAGGCATGCCAGAACTCCTGAACCCACCAGGACACCCTGTGGGTGTCACAGGTGCCACAGTGGGGCCTGGTGCTTTGGCCCTATGAGCCACACGGCCACCATGCACCAAGGTGTGGGCAGACGGAGCTCAAAAGCAAATGAAGGAAATAATAGAAATTCAAATTATTAAGTAAAAAAACCCTCAAACCATTACAATATTCTTACTGCTGTGTGTGGGGCTGCTCTAGAGCTGTCTCTGTTTTGCTTTGGGGAGGGATGAGTGCTACAGCCAGGCCCTCACAGAAAGGGCGGGAACGCTGCGGGACTCCCTCAGCTCTCCCTGTCCCCTCGCTTCATGCAGCCCTGCTGCCATGCTGCTGCCTTCTGGATCATGACAGGTCCTTCCATTTCAAGGTATTACATATCTTTTTTACGTTCTGATTACAACTGAAGAGTATGGTTTCAAAAGCACAGCTGGTTGATCTATAGCTCTCTGCTGCCAATGTGGGTGTGTGTTCACCTGCCTCCTCCCCCCTCCTCACCAACACGCTGGTGCTGGCAATTGTCAGAGCTCTTCTTATGTGCCAACTCCATTCGCTAAAATGGCAAAAAAATCCCACCTGGAAAACACACAATGCAAAATTAAATAGTTCTCTGCCATTCTAGAATTAAATTAGATCACAGCAGGGCCCAAAGTGTGCTAGAGAAGGTGTAAGAAAGGAAGTGTGCAGCTAACAACAGGACAAGTGGGAAGAGGGTGAGGAGATTGTCTCCACCTAGTTTATTGAATTTCAGTCTTCTATTTTAACTCTGAAATCCTGCCATACCAGCCTGGCATTGTCAGACCTTTCCCCTCAGTCACTACTATGTGCCAACCAAGTGCTGCTGGCATTTTGGAACCTGGCTCAAGCATCTATCACTGTGCCTTTCCCTTCTCACAAGAGCTACCAAAAATGAGCTTTCTCCTCTATAAGACAAAAAAAATTCCTAGAATAGGAATTAAATCTATAAAATGTAAGAACTGATTTTACCATTATGCTACAATGGCTTAAATGCAACCTGAGACTCTTTTGTGAATGAAAAACTAGAACCTGCCACAGTGCCTAGATGTGCACATCCCCAAGGTTTTGTTCTAAGAAACATCCTTGTGGAGAGGAATGTTACCTTCCCCTATACAAGGCAACTCACTGATACAAATGTCTGGAACTCCTCTGATGTGGAATGTGAATATTTTTCTTTAAAATCACCCAAAAACCATGAGGGAAGTGCTGTGCAGGAGAAAGCATTATAACCCGCATATGGATTAATCTAGGTGTTCATATTGGCATAGTATCAGAAAGCTCTTTTGGGTGTGATAAAATTTAGCAACCAATTCAGCCTATCTTTTTATGCCTTTCCTGGAAAACTGGAGAGAGCAAATACATTGCCTTTTAGCGCTGCTCTTATCCTTCTTCCCACCCCAAAGATAGAATGGGTTTTATCAGTGCTAAAGGCAGATTGAAGAGTTTCTAGTATAAAGGCATAGGGATAGCAAAATGCAGCGGTTGAATTTTAAATCAGCAAATTTACAACAGGAAATAAAATACATTTTTAACACTGAGGTATGTAACTACCGGAGCAGTTTACCACAGGCATGTAAAACTCAGCATGTTTTGCACTCCTTAAATTTCAGCTGGTTGTCTTTATAAAAAATATTTTCTTCTGAAGTTTTTAGAGTAACTGTGGAAATTGCCAGATAGAGTAGGCAGGAGGTCAAGTCAGGCCAGACCATTATAACAATCCCTTTATACCACAAACTGTCCTCTGTACCTAACAAGCCATAGGCTTATTTCCTTGAATAACTATGAAAACCCATATGTTTTCTAACAAACGGACTTGAAAACTGAAGCTGGAGTGCACATTCCCTGACTCCACTGAAGAGCAGATGCCTGAAGCAGCCTGCAGAAAGCTGTGAATTTGGAAGAAATTCTGCAGCTGAGGCCAAATACATTTAGTTCACCTTGCATGACTATGGATTTTGCAGAAAGTAATATGCCCACAGTAATGCAAGTGCTGTACAGTCATAAATCTTTTGCTTTCCAGTTTCATTTAGTACTGGCCACTTCCAAGAGCATTTGGCAAATCTTTTTTTTGCCTCTGTTGGCAATTTCCCCGAAGAGCAAAGACAGGGATGTCATTGGTTTTAATTTCACTAAGCGTATTAATTGTAATTATCCACTGTCAGAGTCAATGTTACCCAAAAAAAGAGAATTGAAACATGAATTAAAAAGACCTGACAGTGTCGAGTCCTATTACCCATTGACTTGAATAGCTGCACCTGATATGGGATATTTCT